TTCCCAAACATGGCGTAGGAGTGCCTTGCCAATACTTTTGTCAGAAAGATAGGCAGTAGAGGAAGTCGGTCGTAAAGTGAAGAATTTAGTCCATTATGCAGTCTGAAACTGAGCGGGGAAAAAATAGTGAAGGAGGTTGATATTTCTGAGAAGAACGAGAAGGTGGAGAAGTATCATCATAGGTAATTGTCGTTGTTGTTTAGGCGTGGGACCAGAGTTGGTCCGACGTGGAACGGGCCGGCCCATTCGAAAATTGCCGCACCGTAGAGGGAGAGGCCGGAAGCATAGTCAGAGGAGAGCGAAGGTCAGATAAATCGAAGAGTCAGTCGAGGCCTCAGACCTGAAGCGGGCAGGAAACAGCACCGGCAAGAGGACAGAGGCATGAGGAGTGTCCGAAGAGTGATCCAAAGACGAGGCGGGGTCAGAACGGGGTGCGGTATCAAGAAGGGGCCCGGGGGTAGCAGGTTCATGGACTAGGGCTGCCATGGTTAAGTTACTTCTTTCTTTTTGTTTTTAAGAAAAAAAAGAAAGAAGAAAATAAAAAAAAGAATAAAAAAAGGGGGGACCGGGGAGGGATAGTTCCTAGGAGGAATGAAAGGGCCAGAAATCTCCCTCAGCACCGCAAGTAGCGCAGATGCAGCATGGAACCCGTGCCATACCCTACCCATCGTGCCAGTAAACCGGCAATCCGGGATAGCAACCTCACATCTGCCGAGCTACCTCGGTGGACAAAAGAGAGGGCGGCTGGAAATCCGCCACAAAGCATACCTCCTTCGGCCACCACCCCAGGAATCCGAAAGGTGGCTTCCAGAGATACACCCATCGCCCGAGAGACACCCAAAGCCACCCTCCGGGATACCGGAGAGGGATCAGGACATCCCCAGGCAATCCAGATTCCACGGCAAACTACGCCACCGCCAAGAACCTCAACGGAATGGGATGGACCCCGGTACCCTTTCCCCCACCTAGGAACTAGCGTGCCTGTGGTAAAAAAAAAAAAAAAAAAAAGGCCAAAAAGGAAGGGCAAAAGGGAGGGGTGGGGAGGAGGAGGAGGAAAGGAAAAAGGGGAGGATGGGATAGGGAACGGGGGATTGGGGGGTAATTAGGTTCGGTCTGAGGAAGTAAACCGACAGGTCTAATTCCTCAGACCAAGAGCCTCTTCACCACACCAACGAGCCCCCCTTGAAGAGGACAGAATGGATATAAATGCACTAGAAAACGTACAAAGGAGGATAAAGTTGATCCCATGTATCAGAAATCTTCCCTATGAGGATAGATTGAGGGTCCTGAATCTGCACTCTAGAAAGGCATAGAATCAGAGGGGATATGATTGAAGTGTATAAATGGAAAACAGGAATAAATAAAGGGGATGTAAATAGCATGCTAAAAAAAAATCTAGCCTAGACAGGACTTGCAGCAATGGCTTTAAGTTGAAAAAATTCAGATTCAGGAAGGATATAGGAAAGCAGTGGTTTGGTAATAGAGTTGTGGATGAGTGGAACAAATTCCCGAGTACCGTCATAGAAGCCAAGACGTGAATATTTTTGGGTGTCTGGAATAGATTAATTGGATTTACATTATTTCTTATGGGAAATGTTACTTAAGTTTTCGTCCATTTTGGATGACCTGGAACGGATTAAAGACGAAAACCGGGGTATTACTTTAATTACAAGTATGTATATCATGATGTACCAACTTGATAATTTATTCATGAAATACTAAACTGTTAAATCCTAGTTGACGTTACCTTTCGTGCTACACATTTTTTTTCCTTGTCAGAGGAGAAATAATGTTTGACCCAACTGTGAGTTTTTATTAAGTTTTAACGCACCCAACACCAAGCTCTAGTAAAGGTAACTTTAAAGCTAAACAGAGGTAAACAAACATATATTCATTAATTTTTTTTTACTAAAAATCACAATTGTAGCAAAATATCACTATGCAGAAAATGTTCAACCTTAAAGTTGGAATGTTTTTTTTTGAGAATCAAATAAATACGGGGAATTGCCAGGACAAAAAACAAAAAAAAAAGGCTACTCTCACAACCACAGGAATGTATGAGTGCTAAAAATTCTGAAATAAAATTATACATTTTAAACTTTTCAGGTGCTGTATGGGAAGAAACGGTTATAAATATAACAGCCAGATTTCCCAAGCACCACAGAACTATGACACAAAAGCACAAGATATAAGGGAGGAATTAAAAAAGTCCCAAATAATGTGTCTGTCAATTCTACCATTATCTGAACCTATTATTATAAAAATACAGTAAGTAAAATGTTGTGGCAGTCACATTTCTGTAGTCATGAACGAAGTATAAGATTCTGTTCACAATACACTTCATGACATAAAAATTTTGATGCCATACACAGCAGTACTTTGGATAAAAAAAAAAGAGAAAATAAGAATTCATTATCAATTCCAAGCAATGTAAAATCCCTATTTCTTGACCAGTCAATGTGAGATAAATATAGGACACCCACACAAACTTAAAATTAACATTAATTCATTTTTAAATCCCATGGCCGATCCAGCAAGGCAAGGTGGCCCGAAAAAAAAAACTTTCACCATCATCACCATTCACTTGACAAGGTTCTTTACACTACAGTATTTTAAACTGCAACATTTCACAACCCTCCTTCGAGTGCAGGCACTGTCCCCATCCAGACCAAGTCCTAGTGCCTTCCTGAACCCTTCATAAATGTTACTTGCTCTAACATCCACACGCAGCAGTTTCAAGTTTCGATTTAATTTTCCACCCCACACCCCGTTTTCCCCTTTTTGAGACCTTGAACATTCATCTGTTTTTTCCCCAGAATAAGTACTTCCACATACCCCTAGCCGAAACCTCGGGAAGCGCTCATCTGAACATCTTCATTAATAATAAAAATTTAAACACTAACAGCCCATCCTTCAGCATCAGGCATGTAACTCCACAACCCAACAGCTGTTATTCCAGCTTTACAATCACTAATGCCTTTATTTCCTTACACTTCCACGCCAGAGTTTTTCCTTTAAAGATTTCAAAACCATTTCTATTTCATTCTGACAACAAACACAGCCATACATGTTGCTTGTAACCCATCTAAACTCACAAACTCCCTTGATTTCTACACCTTCAAACGACCCTAATTTTTTAACCTTATTTATGCTCATTTCCTTTAATTGATTAAACAATCTCCAGACCTTTTCCCCTAAGAATTTTCCTTGTTATCTTAATTAAGCACTAAACACAGTGCTCCTCTTACCAACAAACCCTCTTGATTTTGTTTACTCCTTTTCTGCATGATATTCATATGAAACAATGATCTCAAACAAGTCATCTCCACTGCCTTTAACCTCCATTCATGAGTCATGCCTCTGACAGGTCTCAGTTTTCCTACTCCCACAGCCCAGCCCTGGGCACCCTTTACTCCAACACACACTTGCACTCACTGACATCAGAGACTAATTTGCCACAACATTCATTACCAACCTAGGTAGTAGGTTGGTAAACAGCAACCACCCAGGGAGGTACTACCGTCCTGCCAAGTGAGTGTAAAACGAAAGCCTGTAATTGTTTTACATGATAGTAGGATTGCTGGTGTCCTTTTTTCTGTCTCATGAACATGCAAGATTTCAGGTACGTCTTGCTACTTCTACTTACACTTAGGTCACACTACACATAATGTACAGCCATATATATACACACCCCTCTGGGTTTTCTTCTATTTTCTTTCTAGTTCTTGTTTATTTTCTCTTATCTCCATGGGGAAGTGGAACAGAATTCTTCCTCCGTAAGCCATGCGTGTCCTAAGAGGTGACTAAAATGCTGGGAGCAAGGGGCTGGTAACCCCTTCTCCTGTATATATTACTAAATTTGAAAGGAGAAACTTTCGTTTTTCCTTTTGGGCCACCCCACCTCGGTGGGATACTGGCTGGTACGTTGAAAGAAAAAGAAAGATTCATTACCAAATGCAGTATCTTTTTACATTCACTGCCACCATACATCTTCCCTACAATTTAACATTTAATCCTTCCTTACCTAGACTTTTTTTTTCCTCTGACTTGCTCTTATCCTATCATCACTGAATCACTTGCTATTATCTGTAAGTGAATCATGGAAGCAAATAATATAACACTGACTTTGCAAATGGACACTTGCCTCGGTATACCAGCTCTCAAGTGGACAAGATCAAAAGTCACCTAGACACATGTAAACTTTAAGGATGAATATGATCAAACTTGGAGAGGGTAGCTTAGAGATGAGGGCTCAATGTAGACCAAAAAGTGATTATCTAACAGCTCCTTAAGAAAAATATGCTAAAGTTGTAAGGAGGTTCAGCTGACTATGAGAGCTTTCAGAGATGTTATGCGAGAAAACTGAAAATATGACCATATCTTGGTCAAGGGCATGGGAACCACATAGGCATACAAGATAAGTGCAGAAGCTCATACATTGGACTGCATGTGGTCAGCAGTAACAGCCTGGTTGAACAGGCTTTGATCCACCAGGAAGTCTGGTCTGGGGTGGAGTTGCAAAGAAATTAACTCCCTTAAAAACCTATCTTTCAGGTATTAGGGCACCGAGTGAAAATTATCCAGTTTATTTTAGCAATAAAAAGCTCAAGACCATGTGAGGAAGGAAGGGGATCATCTGCTAGTGTCATCAATACAATACTTTTTATTTGATCATTTAGTACGTTATCTTCATATTTTCAGGCAAAAATTAACTTCAAAAACTATATATATATATTTTTAGGTTAGGATCTGTTAATTGTACAGGTATTAGTAAAATTCTATATTGTATCTGCAGTTTTTAACCAAATACATTTCAACATGTAGATAACTAGTCACGTAAAATCATATTAACTTGGTGGAAAATATAAGGAAGTGCCTGCACTCTGAAAGAGGAGCTAGGATCTGGTAGCTGGAGGGTAATTTGACATTAACACACTTCAAAAAGAACAAGGATTGAATGAATGATGGTGAATGTGTTTTCTCCTTTGGGTCACCCTGCCTTGGAAGAAGATGGTTATTCAGATAAAAATTAGAAATAGTGGTAAAGAGTATTTTTAAATATTTTTTCTCTTTTTTTTTTTAGCATCTTTTTCTCTATTTTGCATCATATATACTAATGTATAGTATCAAAATACAATGATGAACTGAATCAAACTAACCAAAACAAAATTTTATCTTGAAATTCTGATACACTTTTCTCAAATTTCCATTATCAGGAAGCAGCCTGTCCCTTCATCAGGGATGATCCAACACACACACTGTACTGTACATAAGGTCACTATACTGTACATGACAAGGTCACTATACTGTACATGACAAGGTCACTGTACCATATATGAAACTCACCACTACTTCATGGGAAGACATCACAACTTTCATGTCCCAGAATAAATGAACCAATAAAATCTTTCAATTTTTACATGTTAGAATATAGTATATCAAACCCAAATAACTGCTTATGAAACAGCAATACTAACCTTGTATGACAAAATATATAAAAATTCAACATGTTAACATAAAGGTGGGAATGATCCATAAGTACACAACACCACCATACTGAATGTTGATACTTCAACCAGTACACCATACAGAATGTTGATAAATCAACCAGTACACTATACTGAGTGTTGATACCTCAACCAGTACACCATACAGAATGCTGATACAACATGACATCTGCATAGACTTAAAAACCACATCAACTAGAACAGAATTTCCAAATACACCTACAAAAAAAAAATGAATATAAAAAGTTCTTGGCAACTGGAGATGTATCCACGTAGGAGAGTATGGATACATAAAATTTGTACAGCATCTAATTCTTATAATTACTTAAAAACATACATCCGATAATCACCGTCAGGCAACCAGCAGTTGGTCAAAACCTAACCTTTTAAGCATTGGTTTTTTTTACTTTATATATTGAAGCTAATTTCTTTACATGCAATATTCAGCCTAGGTTAATGTTAGGTATGCAAATTTAACCAATTATGGCATACATTAACATAAATATACGATTTATAGAGGTCAGACTGTTTTGATGCAATGTTCACAATTTAGTGTCATGTCATTTTGCCAAAGGTTTTGAGTCTCGGTAATAAACCAACTCTCTATTTAGTATGGGCAATAACCACTGCTGCATCTCTTACCTGCATGGATTATCTCTCAACATTACTAAGTCTACAATTAATAAGAGGAGTTAAATGTAGTCAATGGTTGAAATTTTACTCTTATTATTGTTGAGCATTTCTTAATCCTAACTTGTCCAATGCTTATACACTTACAAATTCTACTGGCTTTAAATAGACCTGAGCTACAGTCAAGCATAGCATGTGGATTTAAAAACTCCAGTAAAATGAAATATTTATGAAATATTAAATTACTTTTTGTTGGATCACTTATCTTCGACAAATTTTCAAAAGCAACTGTTTACTTTGTCATTACATATGATCTCAATTCAAATTATTATAATTTTTGAATTAATCTGCTAAAACAAGAACTGCATTTGTCCTTTAAGAACAAATCTATATCCACTTGTTAAATATAATGCTGACTGTAACTTAAGAAATTTTGATGTTCAAGGAAAGAAACCACTGTACTTTATATCAGGAGTAAATACTAATGCACTGACATCACAGTTTGATATCAGGAAGTAATAAGGCACTTTACGCTAACCAATAAGACCAACATTTTATATATATTAGCAAGTCATAAAGAATGTGGTTGAAAATGCAAAGCACTGACAAGATATTTAATCTGAAAATGACAAATGTGAACAGATCAGATTACAAGTGATGAAAATGAGATGTCTGAGAATTATGCGAGCAATATTAAATAATGCCCAAGAATGCACTTAAAAAAAAAATAGACAATGGCAAAGACTCTAGAACTAATCAATAATAGCACTTGGTTAAAAGCAATATGTGGAGAAAACTAACTTAAACGGAAACACTTTTGAGCATAAGAATCATGTTTAACACATTCAATGTTTCTCTTAAGTCTCAATCTAGTATGATTGTGAAGGAGAGAGAAGGGTGCTATCAACCTCATACTTCAACCTAAGTCCTGCAGTTATAATGTATTCTCGTGTTATAGAACAAAATTTCACAAGAACACATTTTTCTAAAACATATTACTGCATAAAATATCTTCTGGAGATTGACTGCCATCCTAGGTGTACTTTATTACCCTTCTAGGTGAACTTTAAATAATAAATAGTTCATTCTGTCATTATTAAATAATTACTAATAACATTTGAAGATGTTATCTTGGAACCAAATCTGACCTTCATTTACCATGTTGATTCTTTGACAGCCTTTACCAATGCCCATAAAGAATCTGAAACATGTTTTATTTTAATAAGGGGAAAACAGTATCAACATTCTTGATGAAATCAGAATTGGTACTCCAAGCAGCACTTGTTGATACTATAACGAGCACTTGAGTCAGTACCACAAGCAGAACTTGTTGATACTACAACCAGTACTCGTCAGTACCACAAGCAGCACTCGATGATACTACAACCAGCACTCTTCAGTACTACTAGCACTAAGCAGCACTTGTTGATACTACAACCATCAATCCAGTCAGTACTACAAGAAGCACTACATATTAAGCACACAATTAAGCTTACATTTTAAGACCACATAGCTTGTTATACAGAATATGTGAATGTTACTGGCCTTTTTTTCACAGCACAATGCCTCCTTTTAAAGTATACAAGAGAAAAAGCAGGACTTCAAAAAGACTGCTGCATTATATATCACTCTACAAATGACTCAGTAGCATTTTTGTATTGGAATTATCTTAAAACTCTTATGGCATTTCAAAATGAAGCCTCTACATAAGAACATGGTATTATATCATAAGCACTGGAAGAAAATGAATATCACAGATCTGCATGCTAAGGCACCAGGCCAGCGCTTTCCATGGAAAAGACTGGCAACACTCAGGAAATTAGTAATTGAAAGCATTGGCTGTAGAATGGTAGTAGTAAGATGGAACTGTCTTTTTCTAACTTCCTATTACACATCTTGGCATCAAATTCTCAACCAAACGTGAAGTTTACAAAGTTCTGAGTGCAGACAATCGTGAAACAATACTGGACTGTGAGAGGACACTGAGAACAGTTAGGTTCAAAATACTGTATTACTGTCTCTTACCTACTGTTTTGTCTCGCATATATCAGTCTACTGTACTGTCTCTTATGTATGTGTCAACTTTTTGGTTACTTATGTATTAACCTACTGAACTGTCTCTTACCAATGTGTCACATATTGTGTATGTATCAGCCTATGGACATCTTACCTATACAGTAGGGCCCCACTTATACGGCAGGTTAAGTTCCAGGTTAAGTTACAGACATAACGGAGAGTTGTGCTCACAGAGAGTGTAAACAAACTGGGCGGCTAGTGGTGACCGTATTAGAAAGTCAGGTGGGGGAGCCGTATATAGTTTTGGTCATAATTTGAAATGTCCACATTAGCGGAACGCCATAAGGCAAAGCGCCATAAAGCAGGGCCCTACTGTACATGTAAATGGTACCTGTAGTTGATGACATCTAGTGTACTACTATGTATCACCATTATGTGCCACCTACTGTATATCACATATCATATACTGTACTGTGCCACCTACTGTATATTATGTATCATATACTGTATTATGTGTCACATACTGTACCACCTACTGCATCCTTGTGCATCACAGTACCCTGCTGTACTCTCATGTGTCACCTATTGACCTATTAACCCTTAAACTGTCCAAACGTAGATCTACGTTTTTTCAACATTTGAAAGTATGCAAAAAAAGTAGATCTTCTTTTCTTTTTTTACATTTGAAAAAGTGTAAAAAAAAAAAACTTTGATCTACATTTTTTTTTGTTATATTTGAAAATATGTAAAAAAAAACATAGATCTACTTTTGGAGCACTACGCATGTGAACGTAGATCTGCTTGGTCAGTTTAAGGGTTAAGTGTCACTATACTATCATGTATCACCAATTGTGCTATCATGTGTCATCTACTATATATACTATCACTTGTTGCCTGTACTAACATGGGTCACATGTGACACAGTGTACTATTATGTGTAACCTGTACTATCATATCACCTACAGTGCTACTTGTGTTGCCAACTGTACCAGTGTCATGTGTACTTATCACCTATGGTACTACCTCTTGCCAACTACTGTACTATCATGTGTCACCTACACATTTATTTCCTAATATACTTGCATCATGTACAGTACTCTGACATCTATTATACTCATTTATTACCTGTTGTACTTATGTGTCACCTACCCTACTCATGTGTCACATGTCTTTCTTCACGTGTCACCTACTGTACTTTTGTGTTACCTACAGAACTGTTTCTTATATGTGTGTCACTCTAGAACTGTTTCTTATATGTGTGTCACTCTAGAACTGTTTCTCATGTGTCACTCACTGAAGTTTTGTGTCACCTAGTAACAAACAAATTTTTGGTTAGTTATGGTAACACTGTAGTTGATATAAATGTTCCAAATATTTGAAGACAATGCAAGGCAGACCATTACATAGGCAAACTAATGGATATATTATACCAAGTTTACATGACACTGACATGATAGTGTCGTCATTACTAATGGCAGTGACTAAGATTAAATAAAAAAGGTAAAAATACAGTAAGATGTCTTGTAAAAAAACTTTTTTACACAGTGCAATATTTTTGTGCAAATGCAATAAAAAAGTGCATGATAATTGAATAGTGCACAAAAAGACCTTCATAGTGGATGCTCTTCAATTTTTTATGCACATTTTAATTTTACTTACAAAAAATTGCACTATGTAGAATACGGTCAAACAAGAGTTTACTGTATTTAATGCATGTGTTGACTGACTGGCACTAATTGAAGTTGATAGTAATTGTCTGCATGTGTTTATTTGGAGAATTCACTGTCTTCCGAGTAACTGGTGCATAAAGAGCAGTAAACTGGTTCATGTTGAGATCACTGGCCAATGATGTGGGAATCAATGCTGAGGTGATGGGTGATGATGATGTGGTCGTTATGGTGGGTGCCAGTGATGATGATGTGGTGGCAATGATGGAGGCACTGCTGGAGAGCAGGCTGGGTGTGGGCAAGATGGAAGTCAGTGGTGAGGCAGATGAGGCCAATGATAAGAGAGATGAGATTGGGGCGAGGGATGGAGAGGTGGAGGTAGGAGGTGGGGAAGCCGGTGATAATATATCTACGTCTTCATCTTCTCGGTCATCTTGATCATCCATCTCTCTCTCAAAATCTAATAAACCTTCTAAGCCTTTTTCACCATGCTTGAGATGTACATTTTCAATGTGTCCTTTAAGGTGTTCTTTCTGTGTGAACCTGAGGAAAAAAGGGAAATATATTAGAATATGTAGAGGGTAAACTGTCTTGTTAAATATTTATATGCATATGATTCTAAAGTCTCCATGGGGAAGTGGAACAGACTTCTTCCTCCGTAAGCCATGCGTGTCGAAAGAGGCGACTAAAATGCTGGGAGCAAGGGGCTAGTAACCCCTTCTCCTGTATATATTACTAAATTTAAAAGGAGAAACTTTCGTTTTTCCTTTCGGGCCACCCCACCTCAGTGGGATACGGCTGGTGTGTTGAAAGATTCTACAGTAGCAATGTTTTACCAGTGAGTTTAGTTATCATCATCACTATCTCTGCCTGCCTTCATGGACTGGGGAGGAATACTCCAGAAGATGGATAAGCTAGTTCAAGAGGATTAAAGAAATAGAGATATTCAGAGGTGACAAACATGCCTTCACACTGCTTCCTTCACTCATGGATATCACACCTCAAACATTAATTCTGATATCCCTCATGTTCAACCGAACATCTACAGAATTCTATGCAAATTAAAGGACAAAAGATGTGGAATGACTTAAAAAAAATGTGCGTCTGTCTCATGCTCAGGAGACAGAGGATCAAGCCTCCACCACGTCTTGCGCTGAATGACCCACATGGGTTTAGCGCTTAACCCTTTCAGGGTCCGTCCCGTAGATCTACGGTTTTACGGTGAGTGTCCAAACCGTAGATCTACGCCATGAGCTCAGCTCACTCTGATAAACTGTGAGTGGTACATTTGGGCCTAGATATGAGAGAATACATCTATGTGGTATGTGTGCACCACATAAAACAGATCCTGCAGCACACTGTGTATAATGAGAGAAAAAACTGAAATCATGATTTTTCGATTAAAACAGCAACTTTGCAGTGTTTTTTCGTATGTTTTTTATAGTTGTATTTGCGATTTCTTGGTCTCATTTGATAGAATGGAAGACATATTACAGAAATAGAGATGATTTTGATTGGTTTTAGCACTGGAAATGGCTTGAAACTTAGCTCAAAGTAGCGGAAATGTTAAATTTTTGCCGATATTCAAGAGTAAACAAACGACCTCACACGTCTAATACACGTCATCTGGTGGGTCTAATACACATTCACAAATATGGTGATGATATTTATACAATTATTACAGTATTGCATAACAGTAAATCTTCTATTTTTTGGTGTGAATAAAAATTCATTATGTGAATAAAAAATCAAAATGGAATTTATTTGTAAAGCCTCAAAACATAACTAATGAACAGAGGAAATGTTAATTTAGTGCCAGGAATGCCTACATTGTTTATTCTGGACCCTATTTTGAAATTGGAATATTTTGAACTTTGTGTTAAATTGGCCAAATTAACAATTTCCCATCACTTTATTTTGTAGTTGAAACAGTTGACTTGGCGATTTCTTGTGCTCAATCGATAGAATAGAAGTAATACTAGTGAAATAGCTAAGAATTTGGTTGATTGGAATAATGTAATTGGCCTAAAATGGGAGTCAAAGTCGGCAAAATCGCCGATTCGTAAATATCGCTGACACATCAAAATTCGCGAGAGCATAATTTCATCAATTTTCCACCAAATTTCGTACTTTTTGTTTTATTACCTTCACAAAAAGATGCTCTATGATTTCATAAGAAAAAATAACAAATTTTTTTTTTGAAAATTCTTGGACACTGGTGCGTGACTCCAGATTTGGGCCTTGGACCCTGAAAGGGTTAAAAATACTAATCTTACTCAATTCAAGGCTAAGCTAAAGTAGGTACTGTATGCGTAAACATTGCAGTCAAATCATTTACCCTATCTTTGTAAACACCCTTTACTGTTTTGTATTGGGTATCCCGTATGAACAATAATGCTTTAATATATGGTACTGAGCTTTGTTACTAAAATTTATCATTACATCTAGCTTTTAAGTTATGTAATAAATGTCACTTTCCTGTAACCACAAACTTTTGCTGAACACACTTACACTATATTCTTAAACCTACCCTACACATCTTCAACCTCAATGTCTATACAGTGGACCCTCGCCTAACGATATTAATCTGTTCCTGAGAGCTCAACATTAGGCGAAATTATCGTTAGCCGAATTAATTTTTCCCATAAGAAATAATGGAAATCAAATTAATCCATTCCTGACACTCCAAAGTATGAAAAAAAAAAAGAATTTACCAAATGAAATATTAATTTTAATACACACAAACTGAAGAAGACATGTACAATTACATGATACTTAACTTTATTGAAGATCTGGTGATGATTGATGGGATGGGAGGAGGAGAGAGTGTGGATGGTGTTAATGTTTAGAGGGGAAATCCCCTTCCATTAGGACTTGAGGTATCAAGTCCTTTTCTGAGGTTACTTCCCTTCTTCTTTTAATGCCACTAGGACCAGCTTGAGAGTCACTGGACCTCTGTCGCACAACAAATCTGTCTACAGAGGTCTGTATCTCCCATTCTTTAAGATTTGCCTAAAATGGGCCACAACATTGTCGTTGTAATAGTCACCAGCATGGCTTGCAATAGCTGTGTTAGGGTGATTTTCATCCATAAAGGTTTGCAGTTCAACCCACTTTGCACACATTTCCTTAATATTTGAAGCAGGCACAATGGATTCCACAACTGGCATAGACATCTCAGGGTTAGCCTCAAACCCTTCAAAACCTTTCTTAATTTCCATACTAATTCTCACCCTTTTTATCACAGGGTTGGCACTAGAAGCTTTCTTGGGGCCCATGGTGACTTATTTTGCAGGTGCAATCACTAAAACGCTGTGATAATATGAAATGTTCCGATTGTATGTTTGGATGCGACAACGGTGGCTGGCTTGTAAACACTGGCACCCACGGGACAAGTGAGGCGCGCTCAGGCCGCACGTGGATGCGTCTCGAACGGAACGAATCGCGTTGGGGGAGTTTTTAGTGCTAGCCGAGGCAAAATTTTTGCGTTAAAATGTATCGCTAGGCAGATTTAACGTTATGCGATGTGTTCGTTAGGCGAGGGTCCGCTGTACTTTCACTAGCCTGTCTGTCCTCCAGTAGTTGTTTATATCTTACCCTGCCTCCTCCTGTAGTTTATAAACCTTCATCTCTCTCACTTGTTGCTTCCATTCTCCTTGTATCCCATCTACCTTTTACTCTCACTGTAGCTACAACTAAAAAGTGATCTATCTGTGAACCCCTCTATAAACATGCACATCCTGAAGTCTACCTAAAAGTCTTATGTACCAATACATAGTCCAACAAACTTCTGTCATTACACCCTATATCATATCTTGTATAATTATCCTTTTTTTCCTTAAAATATGTATTAACTATAACCAAACCCCTTTCTATACAAAGTTCAATCAAAGGCTTGGCACCTCAAACTTACCTACCACACCCTCTCTCAACGTTTCTCCTACTTTAAAATTTAGGTCCCCTACTACAGTAACTCTGTCACTTGGTTCAAAAGTTCAAACACACTGAACAACTCCCAAAATCAATCTCTCTCCTCTACACTCCTCTCTTTTCCAGGTGCATACACACTGAACAACTCCCAAAATCAATCTCTCTCCTCTACACTCCTCTCTTTTCCAGGTGCACACACACATATTATGACCCACTTTTCACATCCAACTCTTATTTTAACCCACATAATCCTTGAATTTATACATTTATATTCCCTCTTCTCCTTCCATAACTGATCCTTCAACATTACTGCTACCCCTTCCTAACTCTCTCAGATACTCCTGACTTAATCCCTTTTATTTCTCCCCATTGAAACTCCCTTACTCCTTTTGGCTTTGTTTTACATAAAGCTAGGACATCCAACTTCTTTTCATTCATAATACTGGCAATCCTCTCTTTTTTATCATCTGCACTACATCCACACACATTCAAACATCCCAGTTTTATAAAGTTTTTCTTCTCTTTTTTTTAATAGTTTATACAAGAGAAGGGGTTACTAGCCCATTGCTCCCAGCATTTTAAGTCACCTCCTGTGACACATGAGTTTTTATGAGGATAGTGAGGCTCAGGCTGAAGTATGTAGTACAGAGGGAGATTATTTCCCAGTAAAAGTAGGCCTTAGACAGGGATGTGTGATATCACCATAGTTGTTCAATGTATTTAAAGACGGGGTTGTAAGAGAAGTTAATGTTCAGGTGTTGGCAAGAGGCATGGGATTAAAAGATAAAGAATCTAACACAAAGTAGGAGTTGTTACAGTTGCTCTTTGCTGATGACACCGTGCTTTTGTGAGATTCTGAAGAGAACTTGCAGAGGTTGGTGGACGAGTCTGGTAGGGTATGTAAAAGAAGGAAATTAGGAGTGACTATTGGAAAGAGTAAGATGACGATAAAAAAAAAGGGTAATGAAAGACTGGATATCAGAGTGGAGGAAGGGAGTATGGAGGTGAATATATTCAGATATCTGGGAGTAGATCAAAACTTGTGATGGCCTAAGTGAAAGTTCAACTACATGAACCCACGTAGACCACAAAATGACCCAAGAATACTAAGAATGTAACCCAAATCTTGACAAAAATAGAAGATCTAAGGAAGACAGCCCTGCTAACCCAAACACTGCCTCCGCTGCCAGACAACCACTTAACCCAAGCTCCGAGACAACAAGCCTTCTCCATTGCTACACAGTATCTACTTCAGTGATACTATGAAAGGATATCGCAGAAGAAACAACATCAGTAATAAAAGAATAACAGCAAGGACCCTAGAACTAAACTTTTTCTACCACAGGAAGCCGGTGTATCATCAACCCCCCTCACCGCCGCCCCCCAGGGAAAAAACCAACAAAACATGGCTGACTCCCCTTCCAACTCCACTCCCTTCAAAGGATTCACCCATGATTACCAGGTATGATTATTCCTGACAATATCAAGGACTACATCGTTGCTCTAGAACGAAATCAAAGATATCAAAGAAAACACTCGAGCAACGAGTTTCCCAAGATAACCAACCTCGAGAACAAGATCCAAAACCTTGAAGAGAAGATTACATGGGGGAA